TGTTCACAAGGTTCAAAGTTCAAGTTTATATACTTATCTGAATTCTATAAATCCTTTGAGTTTATTAAATGAGGGCTAAGACTATATAAGAGATCAAGTTTTTGATTGTGATTCCTATACTTAAAAGAAATGAATGAAATTTATAGATTTTGGAGTACTGGGAAATGCCCTAAGTTTGGAATCAGAGGGCCTGCCACTGGCAGGCGTTAAGTAGATGAACAGCTAACTTCTGAGCCTGTTTATTCTTAGGTTTAGTGATATCTACCCCACAATAACCACAGGGATGTTATGAGGCTCAAGAAATAAAAGAAAACCAATTATAGATAACATTTATTGGTTACTTCATATCAGACTAAATACATTTATTATTCATATCAATCATGTAATCCTATGAGGTAGGTCACCATTATTATTTTACAGATACAGTATCTGAGACACGGAGTGGTGATGTGACTTAACCAAGGTCACACGACTTAGAAGTGGTATAGCCAGGGTTTGAACCCAGAGCCTATGCTCTAAACCATTATGTCATGTCTTTCAAATAGTAAAGAGTTGTTCAAAAGTGATGCATCAATAATCTTTCAACCAAGTTCTTACAGCAATATTCAGGAGACAGCATAGTTCTGTGACAATAATCAGGAAACTGCATATTAAGATTCTACCTTTATTAAGCGCAACTTATGCTTACTGAACCTAAAGCCAATGCTTCTGGTATTCTCAGTAGCTGCATCTAATTTCCAGCAAAATCATAGGGGTAAAATTCAATGTTGAGTCACCATATAAGGCCTGGATTCTGCATATTGTGCTTTAGTTGGCAGCTATTCCATTGTTTTAATTTAGCCAAAATGAAAAAAAAAAAAGGCTGGCATTGAACTTTCATCTCAAATCTGAAAAAGCCTTTCTGAATTTCTATGTATCAACCATTGTTAGAAAGAATAAGTACAAATCAAGGGAAATAAATTTAATCTCTCTAATAAACAAAGAGAGCCTCAGCCCGGGTTAAAGAGAAATCTCTTCCAGCACCACTCTTAGGAAAAATAGGAATTTACTGTAGTGTTCTGTGTTATTTGCTGAAGCATTTAGAACAAGCCACTCTCTGAGAGAGCATAGTATGTCAGGATGGAACTTAACTCTTCTAAAATTAAAGTACACATTTAATCTCCTATTGAATTTTTTTCTTTGGAAAATACTTCTTTTCAATGTTATTTCACAACAATTTCAAGATCATAGACATGACTGTGGTATCTTGGGATTTTCTTAAATTTTTAGCTCAGGCAGTAAAAATTTCTGATTTAAGAAAAATCTCCCAATTTTAGCCAATCCTGGGTGTGAAAATAAATATGATCAATGTAAACAGTCTGGAAAACTGACAAGGAAATACTTCATTTTCACTCTCAGCAGGGTGATAGGACTTTGAGGGTCATCCATAGTCAGAATTCTTCTTGCTATAATAAAACAATTAAGATAAAATACCAAACCATAATAGACTTTAACCATAAGAGGAAAGAGTAAAAATAAAAAATGGAACCACTAATTGTCCTATCTGTACCATGACTGATATGAACATCTTCTCCTCTAGGTAGGTACCTATACCCTTAAGCCATCTTAGCAAAGTAACGGTCTCATGCTGTCTTATCTTTCTTTTGAGATAGCAGTTTACATTTTGGTGTCAGAACCCCATATACTCTTTAAAATTATCAAGGATGCCAAAGAACTTTTGGTCATGTGGATTATATCTATTAAAACTAAGAAATTGTTAAAGTATTTATTTTAAAATAAAAATAATACAACCACATATGTAAATATAAATAATATAGGTTTTTATGGGAATTAGCATTAAAAAAAAGTGAGAACAGAAATATTTTACAAATGTTGGATGTGACATCTGCTTCTACATGCTGTATGACGTGCTGTTTTGGTTGAAATACGTGAAGAAAATATAGATATGCAGTTTGAACAGGGAGGAGTATTTTAATAGCCTTTTCAGATAATTGTGGATATTCTTCTTTGATACCCCAGAATCCTACTACTACTAGCTTTGAGATGATTCCAGGGGAATCTTAACTTGTGGCTACTGCTACTAAATCACAAAACATCCTATCCAATCACTTCCTCAACAGAACCAAAGTTCAGGGTCAAACTGCCCTCTCCTGGTGAAAGATTGGTATCTGTTTGGTCTCAGAAGCTCCAATCTGCAGCCAGTGCCTTCATGGAACTTGCCCAGGATCAGAGCCTTGTCTCATGCAACCAGAAATTTTAAAAAAATGGCAGCCCTGAATATGCAGGGGCAAGGATGAGAGTCGGGACACAGTAGCAGGGCAATTCGTCTTTCTAAATTCTACTTACTGTTGAACTTTTGAGAAGTACGAGGGACACAGCGTGGATCAGTCCTGTGAAGAGGGTTGAATGGCCCCTTCCAGCAATACCTATAAATGGCTAATTGCAAGTCAGTTCTGCCAAATTCAAACAGATGAAACAATATAGTATGCTACTTAAAAATAGGCTCTTATACCTTATCACTGAAAAAATGACTTTAAATATAATTTGCATGAAATATTGTTTTATGAAATGCCTACCTCTCAGTTCAAGGAAATGAGTATTATTACATTACCTTTAAAGGCCCACTGTGCTCTTTCCTAACAGCACCCCCTTCTCTCCACCAGAGGTAATTTTGTCTTTGGAATCTCGCTGCTTTTCTTAAAATTATGTAACATACTTTTACAGGCCTGTCCTGAACATCTGCCCTGGTCAAGCATACATGAAAGCCCATGGACCGCATATCCAAATGAATAATTTATAAATCAAACTAGCAAAGTGTTGGTAAGAAGAAAAAAAAATTATGTTTTGTCCTTCTGCCTTGAAAAGTGAACCTTTCTAAAGATCCAGAAAGCCAGATTCAAATATCTCTGATTACCAGTGAGGTTGAGCATTTTTCTATCTTTATTGGCCATTCCTTCACTGTGAAACGATTTAAGTATTTTGCCGTTTTTCTAATGGATGGTCTTTTTCTTATTGACTCTTAATGATTCGTAGGAGGGTTTCACATATTCTAAATACTAACACTTTTTGTCCAGCTACAAGTGTGGCAAATACCTCCTCCCAGGCTGAGCTTGCATTTTCACTCTTTTTGGAGTACTTCGAAGAACAAAACATCTAAATTTTAATGCAGTTGCACTTAACCTTTTCTAAATTAGTTAATATTGAAACCATGTCTAACACAGTTTATTGTAACTTTTATATTACTTTCCTTTATGATGTGAACTTTTTCTATTTTTAAAAATCCTTTCCTACTCTGAAATCATAAAAATATTTCTAATAATGTCTTCTAAAACATTTTAGATATATGCCCTTCACATATAAGTTTTTAATTCATGTGGCATGTGTTTTTTATAATGGCTTTATTGAGTTACAATTCACATACCATAAAATTCATTCTTTTTTTTTTTTTTTAAGAATTTTTATTGGGGAATTGGGGGATGGGAACAGCGCTGGGGAATTAGGGGGAAGGGGAACAGACAAGTTGCTGTCGTTTTGTTCTTCAGTCTAGTTGTGGAGGACGTTGCTTCACTGGCCCAAGTTGGCACCATCANGTTGCTTCACTGGCCCAAGTTGGCACCATCATTGCGCTCTTCCCGGGCGAGGCAGATCAGTCGCCGGCTTCTGGTCGGCCACTCACAGTGGCTGCTGGCTGCTCATGCTGGCTGCTGGCTACATACGGTAGCCCATGACAACCCATCGCCGGCGACTCACGGCAGCCCAGCTCCAGGTTGAGCTGTTGTTCAGCATTTTAGCTGTTGAGGGCAGTGTCACTGGCCTTCATATGTGGGATCCGAACCGGGGCCCTCTGGTGTCCCAAGCTAGCTCTTAACCAATGTGCCACCCGGCCAGCCCAGGACTAATTATATTGAATAGGGTTTGGTATTTTGAAGATTACTTTCTTTTGTGGTTCCTTACCTTCTACATCACGCCAGTGTTTAAAAATAAAATGCATTTTAAGTGATGTCAGAGAAAATAAGTGTAACATTTTAAATATCTATTAGTATGGATAACATTTAATATTACTTTAAAACTTAATGATTCTATAAATTGTAGTACTGGAGTTAAAATGTGCTTCTAAGCAGTACTTTTCAAGAACTGTGAAAGAGCTTGATTATGATGGGAATAACATGCAGAATCTCTGACTATTCTTACTCTTTCTTAAACTCTGGATAGTAACAGATTGCAAGAAATATAGTTCAGGACATTCTGAAACATGTAGCCTAGGGAAGACAGAACCCGTTACAATGTGGAACACATTTTAACTCCTGCTTTCTAATAGAGATAATCAGCGGATTCAAGTAGATCCAAGGGCTGGATGCATAATCACACTCGATAATGCTGATATAGATGTTGGCAATAACAAACAAAGGTGCAACAGAGAAAATAAAACAGAAGGAACTGATGTAGTGGAAGTGTGTTCTGGTTAGATTACAATGCAGCAATAAAGGTTGAGAGGTTAACAAGATCAGAAGACAGAACCCTCAGATAAATAAAAAGAAAGAGAAGGAATCGATGACTCAGGGAACATACTTCAGTGTTGAAATTAAGCGAAAAAATGAAAAAAAGCAGGTGAAAAGTTACGGAGAAAAATAGTTTGGGATGAAGAAAAATTATCTCACAATAGTATGGGTAGTCCAGACAGAGAAGAGGATTTCTTAATAGAAACAAGTATGGAGAAGAAACAGAATGGGTATGAAGTTCTGGAAAAAGAGGGAAGTTGCCATAAAAGTGACTTAACCTTCTCATCCAGCCAAAGTAACTCTGTTTCTTAAAAGCAAAAATGATTTCAGAGACTTTCTTTGTTCCAGCTCCAAATTTATACAATGTCACCTCTAAAGAGGTAGAAGGACACCAACCTAAACTGAAATGTCGCCTATCTTTACACTTACCACCTCTCCTCTGGCTTGAAGGGATTTGATTTGTAAAAAGACTAGAAATATGACAAAAATAAAAATAGAAACTGTGTCACAATAGAATTTTATAGTACATTTGTTTAATTATGATCATTAATGTAATAGCTGCCTCAATAGTTTCATTCAGGTAATAAAAAATGATGGTATAATGATGGTTTAAAGCTGGCTCAATCACGATTTTACAAGCTTATTTATCAAGAGTGAAAATAGAAGACTATTAAAAATAGCTAAAAAGATAACATGTTATAGTGCTTAATGTTTCTGTAACTGTTGGTAAGGCTTACATCTATATCTGATGCAGAATTCTTAATGCCACTGAAATAGTTCTTTTCTCAGCCATGTGGTATACACTGGCACTATGAGTCTGGAAGAGACTGGCTATGGGTGCCACTTCTTGTCTTCAGCTGTGACTGCGCAATATCAGCAAGTGCACTTTGTATCTTTTCCAGAAGCATGTCTCCTCGATAAACAACATCCTCCAGACATGTAGCCGCTTCGTGGTTTTCTTCTTCTAGCTTATATAAGCTAGCAGCCTTTATAAGACACAAATTTAAAAATCTTTTGAGAAATGAAAAACTCAGAAATTAATAAGAATTGAGAAGGAAAGAAACTGCAGAAGTATTTACTTTTAAATCTGGATGACTATGCAGCCACTGTGATAAATTTTTTCAGTGGCAAAAATTCCAAAATCAGGTAACTATACGAATTTTTGCAGTATGAATTATTTAACACAATGAATTTTCAGTAAGAGATCTCTGGATATCTATATGTGACACCTTTCCACGCTGCTTTTGGACACTACTATTCTATTCCACATCTAGAATGCTACCCTCCTCTCATTCTTTGGTAGGAAAAGAGCCAAACTGAGAAAAATAGGAAGTTTCCTTATAACACATAATTGGACAGCTATATATATTCAGCACAGTCTTTAACAGACTACACTAGTTCACAACGAATGAAACTCCCATTTTAAAATGCAATCTTAAGCTTTAAATATTATAACAAGAGGCATTTAAATCTATCTCCTTTAATTCAAAATTCCCTATTAGCAAAGTATTCAAAACAAAAGAGATTTTACCTGTAAAGCAGCTGTAGATTCTTCACTGGGCAAAGAATCTATCAAAACATCAATGTCTTTTGCTGTTCGTGCAATCAGTGCTGCAAAAAGCTGGGCATATTCTAGAGAAAAATGTTATTAATTAGGGTATTAGAGAAGCTCAAGTTTTCAGAAACAGAAATTAAATATTAATGAAACCAGGAAACCACGTAATTTTTTCTATACTAGGCTTCTATAATTTAAGTGTAATTTTAACACACCAATTCTATTAGATGTTTGATAATTACCCTTAATATTAACTTAAAACGGGAATTAACCATAATATATATCATTTATTAGGAAAATATGGTGGTCACTTGAATAAAGGAACCTGTAAATGGGATGCCTTCCTTATTAAAGTCCCCCACAAGTAAAATTCAGCTAAATTCATACGTATTTTCCTTTAAAGGAGTAACACTCTGTTATTGGACATGAACAGAATTATGGCATGTTATATAAATTGACTTTAACAAATTCATTTCTTTTATGACATGCCGGAAGCCGCTGGATGTCTGGGCACTCTGTCTTAGAGTTTTAAAAGAATTGAGTTTGGAAATAACCAGCTTAATCTAAATGGGCTAATTATCATTTAATATCTCAATGCTATTTGGTTAATTAAAATATAGTCTACAGAAGTCAGAATTGGCCTTTTTTGGGCTGAGCCGGAGGTCTGCAGTAAGGGTTAAGCCTGGTGAGCAGTGTGGGAAGGTTGCTAGATAGATCTCATTCTCCACTGTGCTGCTGCAAGCCTATGTCACAAACAACCTTGAAAGTTACAGAGTGAATTGCCAGCCTGTTAGCAGTTTCTACTTGCTATACTTTGTCTCGCTTTGGGAACATTTGCTTCCCCACTCCCCTCGCCCCCCAGGGGGAGAAGCGGCTTGCTGGCAGAGGTTGTGACCGCCATCCCTTGGGAGATGGGCGGCCTTGGCCTGGAGCAGGTGTGTGTAGCCAGCGTGTGGGGAAAAATGCTGTGCCTTGAATAAAGATTCCCCTTTTTACACCCTCAGTAGGATAAGGATCTGATACCCCTCCCAATATTGTTTACCTTAATCAACTTAGTAAGTCTTATATATTACTATAATTGTATTTTATACACTAAAAGCAATCTTAGTTACACTGTTTGTCTCCTAATCTCTTAGTAATAAACAAAGCATGCACTCTGTAGTCTCAGGATTCTGCTCAGCTATGGTGTTTGAGATAACTACTAATTGGCCATAAAACATCCTTCCAACGAACGCCAAGGCTGGAATTCAGCTCTGACCATCAAAGGTAAAGACAAAGTAAGTTAGTCATTAGTATGAAACAAATCCAGCTGTACCCTGTAACAGAAGTAGCATGAGATAGTAAATCTCTAGGAAGGACAAACTTCTAAAGAGAATAGACTTTGGGAAGGAAAAGGAGAATAGACCTTGGGAAGGAAGAAATAATGAAACTATGTAGAAGACAAATGGGTAAAAGTTTGTCTCTGGAAAAAATAGCTCAATGATGTAATGGTCAACTGTCCGGTATAAAAAGGGACATGCTCTAACAATAAATTGAGACACTTCTCTTCTTGAAAAAGCGCTCCTGTGTCTCTGCGCGTTTTTCTTTTTTCCTTGTCGTAAACCATAAAGAATAAGAGAGAGACACTCCTTGTGAAAACACTCTGCTCCCTTCCCCTCCCCCTCCCTCTCTCCTCGCCTATCTTCCCCACCAAAGAAAGGGCTTTCCCCTGGACCTGTGGGAGCTGGTCTCCCGCAATGACAAACAAAATTTGTAGTAATATCCTCAAACAATAACATTTTTAGAAAGCCATAATTATGTTGAATTTCTCAATAAATCTAATTTTAAAAGATTACAAGTAATGAGAGTCAAACTAAGAAAAGCCAAGAAAATCTATTTACCTTCTGTGGGATTAGCTGGCTGATCTTTGTTAATTGTTGTTTGAATATTACTAAAAGAGGCAGGAGGACCACACTGCTGCAACACTCCAATGGCATTACAAAACTGGTCTGCAAGCTGGAGGCCAAAGAAAACATGTCAAAGTTAGAAAGGACTTATCAAATTGAAGTCTTATTGGTAATGGCAACAACAGTAAGTTTCTATAATAATCTCTGAGCAAGAGAATAAAAAAAAGTAATTTTGGATAAAATTAGCCAGTTATTAACAGTGATTAAATGTCTTAATCCTGCAAAGAAATGAGGTTTGGTATCAATACAGTTGAAACAGTTAAAAAGAAATGCAAAATAATCTTTCTTTTCTTCCCAAAGTAAAAGAAATATATGCCAATATGTGTTGCAAGCACAAGTAAGGACTCTTTTTGGGTAGTAGTGGTAAAAAGCAATTTTGACTAACAAATATTTAAGAATGACTCCTAAGTAAATACAAAATCGTATTAACTGATGTACAAAGTATATGATCTCTTTTCTGAGACTAGTTACAAATATAAAGAAATAGTGGGAAAAAGACAGCACCATTAAGTATTCAAAAATGTTTTTCTTCATGACTTAAATTGTAAACACTTGGTGCTCTAAAAGTATTCCTTAAGCTGTTTTGAAGATGGAGAATACCAGTTCCTTACCATCTCCAAATTTAAGACTCCTATCCTCTCCAGCAACTTCTTTCAACAGTCCTGACCTCTCAAATCTCAATTTCTTATTTCCAACTAGTGAATAACCATTTCCACTAAAATTCTCTGCCATTATTTGAATGACAGAACTCAAAGTCAACTGTTTGCTTTGTTTAATATCTAATTTGTATTGAGGTTTTCCTAATCAGTCCAACTTCAGACTCTTTCCTTTCATCTTCAAATCCTGATAGTACATACTACAAATCTTTCCCTTTTCTTTCTATCTTCATTGATATTGTGTTAGTTCAACCAATTACTTCACATCAGAATTGTTACAATAATCTCCTTATTGTTTTCTAGTTCTGTTATTTTACCCTGTTCAAAAAATTTGAGCTCACCCCAGCATGGTCTTCAAGATAAATCTCCAACTCTTCAGGCTGTTTCAAAGCTTTCAATAATCTAAGTCAACTCTACTCATTCATCTTCTACTGCTCCTTCATATTTACCTGACTAGTGATAAACTCATTCCTGACTACACTTCTTTTGCTCACATTTTGCAAATGTAATGGAGCAGTAGTGTTCAGAAACTGTACAATTGTGGATTCGAATTCTGGTTCTAGTAACTTGAGGGGTTTTGTTTTGTTTTTAAATTTTTAAATTGGGACCATTCTCATATTGCAGCATTGTTATGAGGAATAGAGAAAACAAAAAAAAAATTCAACACAGTGGCTGCCTGCTCTGTCCTTCAAAAACTCTCAAGATCTATTTATTCAACAAACATTTATTGAAAATCAACTTTATGACAAGTACTGTATATGTATAAACATTACAGAGATATAGGGAACAAGACCATTTCTGCCCTTTATAGAGTTTTCAGAGGATAAAACAGATGTATTTTAATAATTTTACAATTACAATTCAGATAAATGCTAAGATTCCCTCTAATTTAGTTCCTATCATTCTATATTCCAATTTATTTCAGCACTTACAGCTGAAAATACTTGATTCATTATAACTCCCTAACCATATACTGCTTTTGCATTATTTAAGTATCTCTTGAGTATCAGACATCTTTCTAATCAGGCTGTAAACTCCTTAAAGAGTATCTCTCTATGAACATAATAGTGCTTATATACACAGTAGGTACTCATACTAGTTAACCTAGAGGATTCTCTGCAAAATCCAATTATCAGCATGCCTACCCTGGAGTTAAGGCTGTATTCACTTTGTCCTTAGTTTCCTTTTGGCTACATGGCATGTATGATGAATATGCAACATTTCCCCTAAAATAACATTGCTATTCAGCAGCATCATTACAATTTGATTTTGTAAAACCTCAAAGGAGTATCTCCCTGAGGGAGGTTGGCTGGCAGCCAAGACCAGTCACTACAAGGTAGAATTTATCTTGGTGAATTCATCAACACTTAGGGGCTGACGGTCTCAGCCTTAAAAGGTCTTATTTTATACACACAGAGTAGATCAGTTTCTCAAGAGGAGAGTCACACTTTTCAAGTGCAAATACTGATGTTATAACAAGAATGCCAACTTATTAGCTTCCACTGAGAAAAAAACTGGCAAGAGACTCGGTACTTAGATTTTTCCTGTCAACACAGTCACTCTAGATAGGCGTCTTGCCTGGGACATCAAGTTATAAACAGAATGACAATGAGCATATAAACTACCAATAGAAAACTACTTAACTCCTAATGGTAATAAGTACATGAATCCTATGTTCTGCATATGTTTTCCACTGAGGCATAATAGGAAAAATAATCAGAAGGATTAAAGCACAAGACATGACTTTTAACAGGAAGCAGACTTTTGGGGGGGGATTAAAGAAGACTTAAACAAACAGAAATATACGAGGATTAGAAAATTTATTATCGTAAGGTGTCAGTTTCCCCCAAACCGATTTATGCTGGGGGGGTGGCCAAGAGATGGAACCAAGGCCCTTGGTCTATAGGAACCAACTAAGATAAAACAAAACTTCTCATGTTACCATTACTCCCATCCCAACGTGAAAGTTTTGGAGAAGGTATACTCTCGGCTAACATCTATAGACAAAGATCCAATCATCAAGAGCACAGGTTCTCCTCCGTGGGTTAAAATGATAAGGTTGAAAAAAAGCTTCGGCGGCTTCTTCCCTCCTCCCAAGCGAGATCTCGTGAGCACCACTGACAAAATAAAACTGTTCCCAGAAAACACAACAGGACCTTGAAGGCTGAGTCCTGGTACAGCGACCCTCCCCTTCTCAGGCGAAAGAGGCTATTCCCTTTCGCAGCTATCCGCACCGCCCGGCAGCCGGCCTCAAACCTCCCTGGTCGCGGTGACACCTCACGCCGCCATACCGCTTTTTCTGAAGCCGTTTCAGTCGGCTCCCCACTTCTGGGTTTGGTCTCTCGGGCCCCTTTTCCGTCCTAGATTTACCTCAGGAAAAAGGAAGACAGACTTATCGAGGGAAATTGCTCACCGAGTTCACGGCGTCCTGCAGCTGGGTAAGCCGATCCGCCATGTTTCTGGAAGCAAAGAGACGCTAAAGCCGCTGCTCGCACGCGATTGGGCAGCTCTAGGACGCCTCATGGCCAATCACAGGGCTGCGTTCTTGAAAGGGGTGGAGTAAAGCAGAACTCCACGCCCCGCGATGGGGGAGTGGAACTTCCCTGATGCTTACTTGAGTCTAGCTCCAGCTGGGAAAAGCTTCACTAGGGCCAATTTTCAATAACTTGGTGACTGCGGGGGGG